GAATAGTAGATACTATTCAAAGACTTAAGAGAAGAAAGAAGTTCAGGAGGAGAGATGGCAAAGATGGCAGTGTACCAGGCACATTCAGGAAGAGGAGAATGGTCAGGATGGAGAGGAACATTCATGTCAGTATGTGGTTACAAAGGCAGATTGGCGTTCCATCGTTTGGACCTTGAAAGCCAGAATTAAGTAACGCTTCACATGGAAGCTCTACTTTTAGGAGATTAATTTGGCAGTCGTGTGGCAAGAACTGAAGAGGCAGAAATACAGGACAGGGAGCCCAGTTAGAACTGAGTCTGGGGCAGTAATCGGATTAAGGTCATAAAAAACTCAAAACTAAAATATTACTACATACTGGACATTTGAATGGACTGTTTAAATGAAAATTGATGGTACTCAGTAAATTTGAATTTTGGTATGAGTAGTATTTTCTTGAGCATTGGGTAGTTGGTGTAGTTGCCTATGATAATGACAACCATGATGAGTATTCTAATGTGTTTTTTACAGCCTTGAGTTCCTCCATGACCAGACCGTGAGCCTCCAAGAAAGGATTGTGCTTTTTCACATCTCTCCAAAGAGTCTGAGATATAATAGGTTTGTTGAATTTAATCTATAGTTACGGGTTTCCAACTATTTAACACCTGAAATGTTAAATTATACTCGTGGTTGAAAGCATGGGCTCTGGAGTTGTAGATTTTCCAAGTTCCGATCATCAGCTGTTAACATTAGGTCAGTTAATTAACTCCCCTAACCGCTCCCCCCCCCCCGTTCCTCATTTGTAAAGTGGGGGTATTAATAGTGTCTACTTTATAGAATTATAAAGTCATTCAGGTAAAGTGTTGAGCATGATTCTTAGAACTGAGCAAATAGTGAACAGAAGCAAATGCCACATAACTGATCTATATGTAAGAGAAGAATGAATCCAAAATTCTCATGGTTGGGGAGATTAAAAATGGCGGCAGAGTAGGAGGATGCACATGGACATGCTCCCAGGAACAAGCTGGAGTTACAACTGAAATACGGAAAGGCTTCCTGAATAATCAATGGAAAACTCACAGGAGAGAACCCTGATACCCAAGGACCGAAGGTGGAGATAAATATACAATCTCACTCATTTATGAAATATAATGAACAACATAAACTGATGAACAAAAATAGAGCCGGGTGGTAGGGAGGGAATATACTAGAATATAATAGAAGTAATCCTGTTACTGGCAGATTTTTAATATTTCCTTTTACGTTTAAAAAATGCTTTGTAAGACATATTTTGGTAGACAAAGAGTAACCTGGCAGCAAAGATAATTAAGTGGTGCAACAGGCTTTTGATGCCAATTAAAAAAAAAATCTTTGGGGAATGTAGATGCTCACCTTTTGTATATCGAGTACTAAAGTATATTTAGTAGACACAGGCATACATACCATTAAAGTGAGTAAACCCCTTTCACTTCCATCATCTCACTTGACCAGCCAACAATCCTGTGAAGTAGGAAGGATGGGTCTGCGTCTTATTTTGGTGAAGAACTTGAAGTGGCCTTGAGTACTAGGTAACTTGCCATGAGTCACATAGCCAGAGTGGCAGAGCTGGGCCTCTGACGCCCAAAGGCTCTGTGTATGACATCTGGAGAAAAGTGATCGGAAGCACAGATGTTTAGTGGGAGGAATGAAACACTTGCTGTAATGCCAAAAAATAACTGGAAATAAAAGCAGAAAACAAGACATTTGTTTCTGTTATAATATGACAGAAAAGAAGGCTCTTGTGGTTTGGGATTGAGCATTCAGAGAAGAAATGGGGAGACCACTCTTGGAATACGACATCTGCTTCTGGCTACTCATGACTGGGTTTATGGAAACCAGCTGGATGATGTTCAAAGAAAAGCTCCAAAATGATTAAGGGGCTGATGGCATTGATTAATAAGGAAAGCTTGAAAGAATTAAATGTGCACAACTCAGCCAAGCAAAGACTGAGGAAAAACAAGGTAAATGTATACCTTTTTTGTAAATATATGAAATGTGTAACTATTAAAAAAGGAGATTAATTAATTAGCATAATGCATGGGGGCATACTAAGTAGTAATCGGATAAAAATTTAAGCTGAGTATAAAGAAAATTTCCCCGATAGTTTATTAAGGTTTTCTGTGGCATAGCCTTTTCATAGAGAAACCATAGAAGTATCAAGCCTTTGAATTTCTAAAACCTCCCTGGGAACTTGGTATTAGATGATGTTAGAGAATTATTATTAATTTGGTCAGGTGTGATCATGGTATTATGCTTATAAAAGAACATATCATTTTTTTTAGAGATACTGTGAAATGTAGGGACAGAACAACATGATGTAAGAGATCTGCTTAACAGTACTACGGCAAGGAAAGGAGAGGAAGGGAGAAAAAGGAAGGGAGGGAAGAATAGGGAAAAAAGAAAGGGAGGGAGAGAGAATGAAAAAAAGGATAGATGAAGCAAGTGTGGCAAAAGGTTGATCATGCCGAATCTGAAAAGAGATCTTATGTGAGTTCATTTTCCTTTTTCCTTTTATGTATGTTTGGAAACATTTATCATAAAGAATGTAAATTACATTTTCCTGAGCAAAGCTCACTAGTGTATTAATCTGGCTTCCCTGATTACTGCCACACACCAGACCAGGGCCCATGATAGTAGGGATACGTTGCCTCTGTTTACCATCTCGCTCTGGCGATGTCGATTGGACTGAGCTAAAGGACTCTTCTAAAACTGTAGGTAAGACTCTAACAAAATCCTTAGACCCACTGGAAGAGGGATTAATTTATAAAGGAAAGTGAAAGATTTCAAAACCTAGCAAACATCTATGAAGCTCAAGTTGAAAAAAGATAAGATTTAAAAAAAAACAAAACTGCCTTCTCTCCATTACCTTCTCTTCTTGCAGGTGACTGTTTAGGGCAGGAGATTTAGGGAGCATTTGGAATGTATGTTCTACCTGCTTTTTTGTTGGTCTGCTTGCTTGTTTGAGGCATATAAATATTTTCTCTGAATTTCACTGTTGGCAGTCAAGCAAGAATACAGACCCAGTATCTCAGACCTATCACATCTGAATTTCTCCAGAGTATACAGCTAGGCTACAAAATAGCTCAGTATAAGGATGGAGCTGTTTGAAAATGGAGCAGAGGCTGAATGGTCAATAAGCTTGGTTGAGTCTATCTCATGACCAGACATCCCTTCTCCAGCCCATAGACTCTGACTTAGCACAGGCCCTTATCATCTCTCACCTGGGTTACTGCAGTAGCCATAACCGGGCTTCCGTACCTCCAGCCTCTTCCCAGTGTCATCATCCTCCACCGTGACCCCAGAGTGGCTCTTCTGAAATACAGCTGATGGCGACATTCCTGGTTAAATTCTTAGCATCTAGAGCAGTGGTTCCCAACCTTCCTAATGCCGCAACCCTTTAATACAGTTCCTCATGTGGTGGTGACCCCTAACCATAAAATTATTTTCGTTGCTACTTCATAACTGTCATTTTGATACTGTTATGAATCATCGTGTAAATATCTGATATGCAGGATGTATTTTCATTGTTACAAATTGAACATAATTAAAGCATAGTGATTAATCACAAAAACAATATGTCATTATATATGTGTTTTCCGATGGTCTTAGGCGACCCCTGTGAAAGGGTCGTTCGACCCCAAAGAGGTCGCGACCCACAGGTTGAGAACCGCTGGTCTAGATAAAGTGTAACGGGGACTTGCCTGGCATATAGCCGTTCTCCAACGAAGACTTGATTGAATGCCTGCAACCTCAGTGCTCCCTCTCTCCCCGTTGCCCTTTCTGTGCCTTCTTACCTACTTAACCTTTGCTGAGAAGATGCCTTTTCTCCCTTGTCCACCCAGTAGTTTTTCAAGACTTAAGGTTTATAGCAGTGAAGTCTCTGTTGATGGCCTGGTCACAATTAATCCATCCTCCTCTCAGTTGCCATGCACCTCCTCCATACGTTCACGGCCATACTTAGCACCCCATCTTAATCATCTATTTATGTGTCTTCCCCACAAGACAGTGGGCTCTTTGAGAGCAACTTCTGTGTTTTCATCTTTAGTTCCTCAGTGCCTTGCACACTCTGAGCACTCCATATCGTCAGATAATCCTTGGGAGCTATGAGGTGCCAAGTAGGGGAAGGAAGTGGGCACTCAAGTTTGAGTGAATAAAGATGCCATTCATTCCGCATATTTATTGGCTGTGTAAAGCCGATGTCCAGCTGCTCTCCTGTCTGTAGCTCAAGGAGCGCATAGTACACAGAACCAGAGATTTAGCTCCTCTCCAAGTTAACCTTTAACCTGCAGCTGGTCCCTGATGGGGAAACACTTCCCCTCATGTCTGTGTTTTGGGTTTGTAGCGGTGATACATGCTAGAACTATTTATTCCACTATCCCAAGCTGCCTCTCAGCGTTACGAATCTATGAAAGAGACAAGATGATATACAACTTATTCTAATTTGTGGTTGCGTTGTTTATTTGTTTCCTCTTTAAGGAGGAGGTGGGATTGGATTGTTTGTTTGGTTTCTTCTTCAGTAAGAAGCATCTTACTATAACTGGTCTGGACATCTGTCCCATTTTTTAAAATTACAAGTTTTGATCACTGTTAAATTGTACAGATCCCAGTCTGTCTGCTCTGCATACATTTGCATTTATAAAAGCAGAAGCAGACTAAAAGTCTTTCTAATGCAGCCCCCTAAATGCATAAAGTATCAGATTGCTTTTTCCCAATTGGTTCATGCATTGCTAAGGGCTTAAAAGGATCATTGATTTGAATTATTTAATGTGTACAGCAAGTTGAGTTTTCTTTTTTTTCTTTTTTTTTTTCTTAACCTTTGGGGACATTGCTTTAATTCTTTTATGTTAAACCTCATTTTTCTTTGAAAGTAAGAAGTTAAAACTGTATTCACACGAGCTCCCAAAGTCCCAGATTTTCATTGTGTTTTTAAACCAGCTAGGAAATATTTGATTCTAATGCAACATTACTGCTGAAAATTGGGCTGAAATTGCTAAGCTGAAAATATAGTTATAACTGCTTATTATTCTAATGTATTTTCTTTTCCTTTTTGGGAGCTGATGCAGATGAAATAAAAGATAGAGGGAGAGATCCCGTCTACAATACAAAGCCATCCTGGATTTTCGTTGGTGTTTTTGAAATTTCATTGGCTGTTTTTGACTTACATTCAGTAAGTTGCAGCCCCAGACTTTACATGTTGAACATTTTTACTGTGAAATTTATTGTTTTTTGAGGACCTACTCTTGCCCCATGGAAAGGCAGTTGGGTCCTGTCACCACAGTTTGTGATGGCAATGTCTGGGTGAATGAACTTAGTTTAGTTTGTGTTATGCTCAGAAAGCTTGCCAAAAATGGAGACTTGTTTGTGATGTCTAGTGTGGCTTCCTATAGCAAAGCAAGGAGTCTAATGTAATGCATTTGTCAGGACAATGCTCAAGTGAAAAAATGGAAGTCTCGCCCTAACTGGTTTGGCTCAGTGGATAGAGCGTCGGTCTGCGGACTGAAGGGTCGCAGGTTCGATTCCGGTCAAGGGCATGTACCTTGGTTGCGGGCACATTCCCAGTAGGAGGTGTGCAGGAGGCAGCTGATCGATGTTTCTCTCTCATCGATGTTTCTAACTATCCCTCTCCCTTCCTCTCTGTAAAAATCAATAAAAAATATATTTAAAAAAAAAGGAAGTCTCATCAGCATAAGGCAGTCATATGATGTAAAACAGTTTAGGGCCCCGCCAGCGTGACTCAGTGGTTGAGCGTCGACCTATGAACCAGAAGCCCAGGTATAGGGGACAGTTAGGTTCAGGGCCTCAGGTCTGGTAGGATTAATTGATCTACAACAGGTATACACTAGGACCACCCAGGACAAGCCAGATTACCACTGTTGCCATAACGAGGAAGGTGGCCCCTACCATCTTTGTTGTGATCATGGTGGTGTCTGTTTCATCTGCTTGCTGTATTCACCTGCCACAGGCCACCTTGATGAGGTGACAGAGGTCATCTTATTTCTCTGATATTTCAGTTTTCAAAGCTTGGTGACTATCACCTGGCTAAGTACCAGCTGTGTACAGGAACATATTCCTTTTCACTGGAGTCTGTGTTTTTTGGGTTCCTGAAATACAGCATAACCAGAATCTATGATTCATTCCATAGAACTTTCCAGATCAGAAAATGCTTTATCCACTCTCCTGCCCTTAAGTCACTTTAATATCACCATCAATACACACGCGGTAAGAGCAAATTGTTGTGGCAAAAAGTTTCCCTATGAAATCCAAACGGCCGTACCAACGTCTGTCTCCTAGTTTAGTTTTGCTTATGCAAAATGTCACCACTTGGGTTCCCTTCTCTCTCTGCACGAGTCTGTCCTCTGCATAACTGGTAAACCGACGTGGTAGGAGGAAAGCCCTGGAGAGTGGAATCTTGGGAATCCAAGGATAAAGTATTTCCAGGAAAGACTGCTCAGTGCTGAAGGGGAACTAGTCTGATAGAAACAGAAGTGATCATTGAACCTGGAGAATTTGAATTTGTTGGAAATCTCAAAAAAAGTGGGTTCAAAAATCACTTGGAATTATTTGTAAGGTTTGTTGGGTATGCGCATTACTCTAGGCTAAAGAGCAGAACAGCAATAAGTACTTATTGAGCAGCCCAGCCAGCGTGGCTCAGTGGTTGAGCATCGACCTATGAACCAGGAGGTTGCAGTTCAATTCCTGGTGAGGGCACAAGTCTGGGTTATGGGCTCAATCCCCAGTGGGGAGCATGCAGGAGACAGCTGATCAATGATTCTCTCCCATCATTGATGTTTTTCTCTCTCCCTCTTCCTTCTTCCCTGAAATCAATAAAATATATTTTAAAAATACTTATTGAGCAATTACTGTATGTCTGGTGATATATTATCCTCATTTAATCTCACAGCAGCCCTCTAAGGTAAGCACTATATCCCCATCTTACAGATGATGACATGGATGCACAGATGAAGTAAGTAGTTTGCCTAAGGTTACACCACATGATTGGTGCACAGCTAGGATTTGAACCCAGGCAGTTGGGCCCTTGATCCTATGCTTTTAATTTCTAGACTGATGCTCATACACGATTGTGACCTAACAAAAGCCTGTGGAGGAGAGAATTAGGAGCCTTTACCCAGAAGCAAAAGTTAAAGCTGTCATGGGGGGTGAGGTCTGTAAGGAGAGAGTAAGGAAAAGAGAGACCTACCAATACAGAGATGGTGAGCTGATCCCTGACTGGGAACTAAACCCTTAAGAATACCCACCGATAGAGCTAAGCTCCTCAGACGTCTTGAAAAACTCACACAGCCTTTGAAGAGCACAGGGAGTTCATCTCCTCCCAGATGTTGCTTATCGCCCAAGGGGTAGCAAGTACTGTGACCGAGCCCAAAGCCATGGGACAGGTTCTGCTGTTTCCCAACTCTGTGCTCACTCCCAGAGTCTGATCTGTGCCTGTACACAGACTAACCACGCACGCACGCACGCACACACCTCTCTGATTTGCCAGGTGGGAGGAGAATGTTGAACAGAACGAGCCAGCAAAGAGCGGGTCAGCCGGACACCGAGCGAGAGGAACGGGGTCAGGTCTCTGTCATAAAGCCCAGGAGGTGAGACGTCTCGTCCAAGAAGACAGTGGCCGGGCCTGTTGGACATGGCAGGACAGGGTTCGCCCCAGGGGCTGCTAAGGCCGCATTTGCCTTAGTGATAAAACCAGTGTCTGCACTCTAGTTTCTAGAAGTGAGTGCTGTCGTTACAAGCAGAAAACTCAGTGGGAGAACACATTTTCAGTCCTGTAATGGATAGGAGAACAACAAGCCTAAACCCAAGATCCATTTTTCTTGCTTTCCCAAGAGAACTGGTCATTAGCATGGTGGTAACCTCGAGGAAGGAAGGAAGGAAAAAAGCTCCATTGGAGCCGGGCTCATTGTCAGCCGTCAGTGGAAAAATACAGTCCCATACCAGTCTCCACCGAACCTCACAGGCTTAGCTAGTAGTTGTTTTCCAGTTTCTTCCTGTTATCTTTGAAATCCAAACATTTTTCCATCCATTCTTTTCTGCTGTACCAGCACTGATCGCGCTGAGGGCAAGAGTTGGCACCATCAAGACACCACAATTACCCAGGAATGTGCTTAGCAACTGCAGCCTTGAACCAGAGTGTGCCTTTGAGGGGATGTGATAATGGCCGCGTTAAACTTGATCTTGCCTTAAACGAATAGACAAAAGGAGGCAGCCGGCCCTACGCTTGTAAGGGATAGTAACAATATAATAAATCACTTTTTTCCTCCGTCAGTTTCCAACCTTGCCCTAATTTCATAGATGAAATCACATGTGTAGAACCGACAGCAATTTAGCTCTGAAGCTCGGAATGGCTGCACAGGAAAGCACTGTGCCTTTTTATAGACTCGTTCCCTGATGTGTTAAATCACCCAGAAAGCTGGGGGAAATGCTCCCTGCCTGGGCCAGTGCGAGAGGGAGCCATCTGAAGAATATTCCAGTGTGGTTACAGTGGGAAGGGTGTCGAAGGTCCAGGAGTATTAATAATGACTATTATTATCTTTCTATTTTTAACCTCAGATGCAGAGAGTTGAGTAAATTATATTCCTCAATGGCACATTTTCATGTTATGTCTTTAGGCCCTACTCTTTTAAAAAATAAATTTATATATATACACACACACACACACACACTAGGGGCCCGGTGCACGAAATTTGTGCACTCGGTGTGTGTGGGGGGGGGGAGGGGGAGTGTCCCTCAGCCCAGCCTGCCCCCTCTCACATACTGGGAGCCCTCAGGCATTGACCCCCATCACCCTCCA